CACCTCACTCCAGAAAGAATGGGTGCTATCATGAAATCAACCAATAAGAAATGCTGGCGGGGCTGTGGGGAAAGAGGAACCCTGCTCCACTGCTGGTGGGAGTGTAGTCAGGTGTTCTTTTTCATGGAAGTATCTTATTTCCCCATCAATTTTGAAAGATAGTTTTGCAGGATACATCAGGTTAGGTTGGAGGTTGTTTTCTTTTAGGGCTGGAAATACCTCACTCCAGGTTCTCCTTGATTTGAGGGTTTGTGTTGAAAAGTCTGCTGTGATTCTGATGTACTTTCCTTTGCATGTAATTTGTTTCTTTTCTCTAACTGCTTGTAGTATTTTGTTCTTCTGTTGAGTTTCTGGGATCTTGATTATTATATTTCTAGGTGTAGATTTTTGTTTTTGATCAAGGCTAATTGGAGTCCTATATGCCTCACTTATGTGTATGTCAAATTCTTTTTCTCTGTTTGGGAAGTTTTCTGCCATTAATTCTGTGAACATTTTTTTTTTTATGTCATTTGTAATTTTTCCTGTTTTTTCGTGGACTCCAATCAGTCTTATATTATTCTTCTTTGCATCATCTAGGAGCTGTTGCATTGTTTTTTCATGGTCCTTTACTAGTTTTAAGAGATATCTCTTTTCATGGTCAATGACCCCCCCCCAATCCTGTCTTCTATATCTGATATTCTGTCTTCAGATTGGCTCAGTCTGCTGTGTATACTCTCAATAGTGTTTTTAATCTCCTGGGTATATGTTTGAATCTGTTTCATGGATTCCAATTCTTTCCTATGTTGGGCGTTAATGATTTCCATTTCTTTCCTATGCTGTGCATTTATGGCTTCCATCATGGTCCTTAGCTCATCTGGTTATTTTTTTTTTATCTGTTTCTGTTCTAGAGTCTCTAATCATATCTTTCATTCCACTCACCATTTCTGTAGTTATCTGGGAAATTACTTCTGTTTTGAATTTTTCTAGAGCCTCATTCATCTGTTTTGTTACTTCCTGTGCTGTCAGTTCAGGGTGTCTAGGTGGTTGATTATCAGACTTTTCCACCCTGTTTCTCCCAGGGTTTCCCTTTGGTGAGCTGGAAGTCTGGGATTGTGCCTTGTTTAAATGTCTTTTTATTTCTATTTTTGGTGTTGGTTTAGTCCTTGGTTTAGTTCCTGGGTTGATACTTTGATATTGCTTATTGTAGGTATCTTTCTTGCTTGTATTTAGAACCCTTATAGAATAATTGCTACTCAGAAGTGTCTTCCAGATATAGCTAGTCTTAAGGTTTTCAGTCTCTAATGACTCTGGGGCAGTCTCATTTTCTTTATACCAGGAAGGATAACTGATTAGATCAATCACAATACCTTAGCCCAAGTGATACCATAAGCAACAACAATAGTATCAAGCACAGCTTAGAAAATGACAATTTGTGGTAGTTATTAATCTACCACCTTTATCCATGTGAATTAAATCAAAATTGAGGACCAGCCCCAAATATATTTATAGTGAATAAACTCTTCAATATAGCAACTTTACCTTTTGGGATGGGGACTTAGAAGGAGTTGGAGAGGGAGAGATAGATAGGTAGAAGGATAGGGAAAGGTTAGAAGTGAGACCAGAGGACACAGGAAGATCACACAAACTCGAGGGAACTGTTGAAGACAAAAGGAGAAAATGGTATGAAAGAACAAAGACAAGAACAGAACAATCTAACAGCAACAAGGAAGCTAGAAACTGTATTCACTTTCCTTTGAAACTAATGACAATTGAGAGAAGGAAAAAGAGAGAAGAAAAGAAAAAGAAAGAAATATGGATTAGGGCAGGAACAGGAACAAAAAGGGAGATGAAGAACAATGTGGGAGAGTGAGAGAGTTTGAGAAAGAGAAAGGAAAAAAAAAGAAGAAAGAAAAAATTTTTGAACAGAGTAGAAAAAAATTAAAAATTAAAAATAAGACAAAAAATAATTTTGAAGGTAAAAAATAAAAATGAAGGGCCTCCTTCAGGGTATGTCTCTGCTGTCACAATAGACAACATGGACCGCAGTGTGCAGATCTAAATCAATTAGTCTCAGCAAGCCAGCATCCAACCCCTGAGATTCAGGCTGATTTCTGGCTTCAAGTTGAGCTCCCTGACCTCCTGCAGGGTTGAACTCTGCAAGGTTCTACTGTAGGTTCCAGCTGCCCTTCCCCTGAAGATAGTCCAGGTTCTGATGGGAAGTGGTGATCCCTCCAATTTATCAACTATGGTGGTCTGGTGTGCCTTTATTGCAGAGATTCTCTTCACTTTTCCAGTGGGCTTCAATTTCCATCAAGGAGCCTGAGAGAGGCCCTCTTTCTGTTGTTCACTTCTGCTGTATCTTCTGGAGCTCAGGACAATGGCCTCTATGACCCCTTGTGCCTCTGTGGTGTGGATCCAGGTACAGGCAAGGCAAGGAAGCCAGAAGTGGGGTGGGGGGTGGGGGGCTGAGGTGGTGCTGCAGGTGCCAGTGTGGCTCTCCTCCTCACTGGTCTGCCTGTGGCTCTCTTCACTATAACTTAAGAGCATAAAATTTGTACTTTATCCAAGATATATTAAGAGTAGGGGGTAGCACAGGGGTTCCCAACTTGGCCACATAGCAGGAAGCAAGCAGTGGGAAAGCAAGTGAAGCTTCATCTATTTTTAGAGCCACTCCTCATCACTTTCATTACCACCTGACCTCTGCCTTCTGTAAGATCAGTGGTAGAAATAGATTATCATAGGACTCTATCTCTACTGTGAACTATGCATGTGAGGGATCTAGTTGTGCACTACTTATGAGAATCTAGTGTCTGGTGATCTGAGCTGGAGCTGAGGCAGTGATGCTAGTGCTTGGGATACCAGTGCTTGGCTGCAAATACAGATTAACATCAGCAGAGAGGTTTGACTCCACAGAGACCACAATAAATCAATTGCTGGCAAACTTATATCAAAATCCTATCAGTGAGTGGTGAGTGAAAATTAAGCTACATCAGGCAGCAGGCTTTTTAGTAGGAAGAGCTGATATATTTCAATAGTACAGCTGCATCTGGGGGTAGCATTTAGGTCAGAATGCATCACTTACTTTACTCTGTGCACAGCCTACCCATTATTTTATTTGCTACTTCTGTTCACATCTATTTTCCACACTGCACATTTGTCTCAGTCAAAGTTTTGGTAAGTACATAAGCTAACCCTAGCCAAAATGAGTAAATAAATAAACAGCACTGGTGAGCTTTTTTAAAAGGGTGAAAGATCCAATGATGGGATAGAAGAAGTCTCCAAGACTTAGCAAAAAGAAAGCTGCATAGAAAAAAAAAAGAAAGAAAGCTGCATAGAAAAGAAAATATTAAGAGCCCTATTTAAATTATGGGCTTATTGCAGCAGGTTATTCACATTCTCCAAGCCTATTTTGTGTAATGTGTAGTGACTGGCTATCCAGCAAAGCCATGAAAACTTTAAAAGTCCTTCACCTCATGGAGACCAAATACCTTGGATTGAAAGACAAACACTTGAAGTTTTTCAAAAGCATTCTTTCTCCCAACTGGTGAATGGTCATCTATCTCAATTTTCAACAGAATCTGAGCATTACTTCCCAACAACAAAGGACCTCTGAACTGGGAAGGAATGGTTTCATGAACCATTTGTGAATAAGTATGATGAATCAACTTTGATTATGCTAGTAGAGGATACACTGCTTGAGATTTCAAATGATGATGGCTTTAAAAGTATGTGTGAGAGAACTTCAGATGTTTGAGATGTTCTGGATTAACATCTAGGTGGAATAGCCTCAGATTGCCACAAAAGCACTGAAAAGCCTGCTTCCATTTTCAACATCCTATCTTTGTGAAGCAGGGTTTTCTGTAGTGACACCAACCAAAACAAGTAGAGTAGACTGGACATAACCAAAACACTTCAAGTGTCACTGTCTCCCATCACCCCCAGATGGGGCTATCTAGTTGCAGGAAAACAAGCTCAGGGCTCCCATTGATTCTGCTTTATTCTGAGTTGTATAATTATCTCATTATATATCACAATGTAATAAATAATAAAAATAAAGAGCACAATAAATGTAATGTGCTTGAACCATCCCCAAACCACTGCCATGTCCATGAAAAATTTGTCTTCCAAAAAACCAGTCTGTCATGCCAAAAAGTTTGTTTACTGCTAGTCTATCAGGCTTCTTCAAGAATTATCTAGTTCCCAGGGAAGTTCTTGCATTTTGTTTGATTTTATTTTAAGTATATATGTGGTAAGGAGTCCCTAAGACCACCCCCAGGTTCAGTGATTTATTGGAAGGACTTGCAAAATCAAAGAAAGCTGTTACATTCATAGCTATCATTTGTTATATTAAAAGGATACAGGTTAAAATTAGCCACATTAAAAGGAGAATAAGGTAGCATCAAAGAAGGAGACAAGGCACAAATATCTGATTATTTTCTTCCAATAGAGTTGTATAAGCAGTGTTTAATTATTCCATCAGTGATTGAGGTTCAATGTTATTAGAGTTTATCACATAGGCATGGAATACTTGTAAGGCTGACTTTAGTGAGTCAATATTCAGCACTGTAGTGGTTAAACTAACATTATGTAGTTGAAGATTCCTCCACCATAAATGACAATATAAGTAGAGGCCACTTGCACTAAAAAAAAGTTAAGTGTGGCATGTTTCTATCACTAATTCCTCTTAAGATAGTAAAATCCTTTTTGTTTCCACTTCTGTGGGAAATACCCAGCCCAATGTCCTTATGTAAAGAGAAAAATCAGTTGAATTCTCTGAAGTCAATATTCATCAAAAAATGGGTAATCAGGATGATCACTCCACCTGCCAAAACAAAACAAAAAAATCAGTTAATTCCACAAATGGCACAGTTGCTATGTTGCTAGCATCCTTTGATCACTTCAATAACCACATTCACCTCTCACTCATTTGTGTTTTCTCACTCACAGCATTCCATTTCCCTGTGTTTCTGAAGCTCTGGAGAGCACCTTGGGTGTGAGTGTGAGTGTGTGTGGTAGGGTATGGAAAGGTTGGTTGTTGCATGCCAACATTTCACTCAAAACAAAAACACAAGATGTGAATCTTGCCTCCCTATCTTGTGATGATGATGATAACCTTATCTTTTAAATAATAATAGTCAAAGAGCCCATAAGAATCTGGAGTGTGTGCATTCCAGACATAGAAATAGATCAATAAGATAAGTGTACAAACTCTATAGATCATTTTAATAAGCTTTTCTTAAATGCTCTCTTCAGAAGATTACAAAAAAAAAAGATTGTAGAGGTGATTTGAAGAACTGGAGAGATTAATGGGGACTGACTAAGAAGAAAAATGTGTGTGCGGTTATATAAATATATATTATATATAATGTACATTTTGTGTATATGTATAAACTATATTATTTTTATTTTTTGTGGTGGTGAGATCAAACCCAGGGCTTCACACAAGCCAGGCAAGCCCTCTACCCCTGAGCTGTATTAATATTTTAATGTTATTTATTTTTAAAAGATCTTCAATATTTAGAGAATGAAAGTTACTTCAGTTGGTTAGCTCTACTTGGCTACACCTTGAAGAAGTGAAAAATTCTTCTCTGAAAAGTCAGTTAGTAGAGGGAACTAGAAGCTTTACATCTTATAGGCAAGAAAGTATTTGTAATGCTAGGTTCTTCTTTCCCAACCTCGTGCTCTGCCTAGATTATAATTTCTTTTTCTCAGAAATATTTTCATAAATTTGCTCCAATTTGTGCATCATTCTGAATTTTAGGAAGAAACATGGTAGTTCAATATTTGTGCTCCTGTTGTTTTCACAAATATCCACTATGAGTTAATTTTCTTCATGTCTTAACCTAAGTCATGGAGTATCATAAATGTTCAGACTCTCTCAAGTGGAAGTGTGGTGTAGAAGGTTCCTATAGCAGGTGTTTTATATACAGGAGTGTTTAATATTCATAACATGCTACCCATACATTCTCCTGGCATTCCCATGGACATAGATCAAGCATCCTTGATGGTTGACATTTGACAATATAATACTACAGGGCAATACCGAATTAGGGGTCCTCCAAAACTTACATAAGCAGTTCCACAAAGCGGATATTTTTATTCAAGGCTTCAATGCTTGTCATTTCTTCTTCAGTAAGAGAAAAATCAAAGATCTGAAATAATGAAAATAAAACAACATTTTTGAAGGTAGAAAATGAACAAGAGTGGAACCAGAGGGGAGTCAGCAGTGGGAGCTCTTGAAAGGTGGGTGACTATTTCTGTAGATGTCTGAGGAGAATTGGGCTAGTGTTGGAGACCACCTACCAATGTGGACCTGAATACTGTGTTTCCCCCTTTGTCCCCCCCCATTGTCTTTGAGACAACCCTGTTGGGAATATCTTGCAAGAAATTTCTAATGTTCTGAAACAATATGTGTTTACAAAATCTGAAATTCCGAAGGTAAACAGTTCTAATGATTTTCATGTAGGATACTGAATTTTTAATTCTGGCCTACTGTCATATACTTTTCTTTCTTAAAATAGTACCTAGTTTCTAAATTTGCTTATTTTTAACTTTTAATTTCCTTTATTTTATCTCTTAAATTTTTTCTCTCATAATTTTTAATGTCTCTTTTACTTTTTTATTGTAAGCATTTTTCTTAGTTTTTATACTTTGTTTACAATATGATTTTATTCTATGGCCTTTATTAGCATTTTAATATATTTTCAGTTATATTTACTTTATATGTTTATAATACTTCTCATGTTATTATCTTTCTATACCTTTTCACTGTAATATATTTAATGATTTATAAATTTTAATTATAAAAGTAGTTCCTAAATGCAGTTATACCTTGGCTCATGAAAGCTTCTGTTTGCAAACAATTTGGTCCTCAACTAACAGAGTTTTGACAAAATTTTGCTTCTGTTCACAAACTCCATATCAAGTGATAAACACAACCTCAGCCATCTTCCCTACACAAATACAAATGTGGTCATCTTCCCCCAAATCATAAAACAAATTAAGTTCATGAACAGAAGTACCAGCCTATATGCTCTTTGTAAAGAAGTGAAACAGTACAGAAATAATAAACGCATAATGGAATAAAAAAGAGTTTCTCTTATCACTCACTCACTACCCCTATCTTATTTCCCTTTCCAGATATTCTTCCCAGATATTAAACATATTAGGAGGAAAGATGCTCTGGTAGCATATCTTTATTATTCTGTAACTTTGCTTTATTTACATAATAGCTTAGTGATCTTAATGACCTTTTCTATCAAAATATATAGGCTGACAATTCATTTAATCACTGTTCAGAGTATACATGTAACATGATAACTTAATTGTTCTTCTGTGGATCATCTCTGAGCACTCTTTTCAGAGTATTCTTTTCTTGATCATTTATCAGCCAAGTATTGGTGTTTATGAGATAGTTAAGGGGTCAAAAATTTATATAATATAAACACAGTCATGAATGAAATAATCACTTAAAAAATGAATCCTTACTCAAACTTCCTTTTTGGTTGACTGCTAAGCTCAGTCATCTACTTTTTTGAAAGCATAATTAAGTCAAATGGCAGAGTGAAGGAAATCTTGTAAAGATACAGGATTTCATGAAGTTAGTGAGAGTGATTTGGGAGATTTCTTCTAATTACAGGCACAATTTTTTTTCCAAAGAAGCATCTAACATGGTTAAAGTCTAGTTCAATATTAAAAAAATATAATTTGAAAAAAATTCAAGAATTGAGAATTCTCTTCAAAAGGAGCCCTTCAAATTTTTCAAAATTATTCTTTTCATAATTGTTCTGCAGAAAGCTTTGCCAGCTAGAACATAACAGTTGTGTTATCACCTAATTTTGTCAAACATATAGGAAATCAATACTGATTAACTTTTTCCTAGAAATGTGTACATGTGCAATTGGAACCTAAATTTTGTTGAGAATAAAATATATATGTTTCCATAAATTTTTGTTTCAATTTTAAGATAAACTTACAAAAATACTCCTTCTCTATATTATACCTATGCAATGATTTTCCTTGTTTAATGTGGATTGATTTTCAACTTCTTTTTCACAGCAGAAATTACCTTAAGTGAATGGAGATTTTATATTACAAAACTGAACTCTTGACATTCCCCCTCAAAACCTGCATCTCTTATGCTTTCCCATCACAGTAAATGTTTTAAGAAGGAGAGAGCATTGATTGTATTAAAACAGGTTGAGCTAGGGATGTAGTTCAGTGGCACAGCACTAGCCTGGCAAGTGTGAGCCCCCGAGTTTGATTACAGGTATGAAAAAAGAAATAAAACAAAATAAAAAACTCCCATTGGTTCAAAAGTCCAGTAGACAAGAAATTCCTGACTTTCAGAAGAGCTCTTTTACTCAGATGATCAAGGTAAAAGCTTGGTTTAAATGAGACTAGAGGAGAGTGGGGGAAGCAGGAAATGAGAAAAAACTTCTCTTATGGGGTTTGCAATAAATGGAAGGAGAAGTGGAAATGGGTGGAGAAGAAAGGAGGTGTATATTGGACTTTATTTTTTAAGATTGAAGATTACAGCTTCTTTGTTGGGAATTATAAAGGAAAATAATTGCTAATGCAGGGGGTTACTCGAAATTGAAGTTATAGAGAAATTATTAGGAATTAGTAATTTCAATTTCTAAGAACATTTTCTGAAAGTAAAGCAACAAATAGAGCAATATTGCCAAATTTCCAAACCAATTGTCTTACCTGGAAGTTTTCTTTGATTCTTTGAGGATTAAAGCTTTTAGGAATGACAATCACCCCTCTTTGGATGTTGAAACGTAAAGCAATCTGAGCTGCTGTCTTATTGTACTTTTTTGCCACTGAGTTTAAAAATGCATCCTCTAGCAAAGGTGGAGAAGATACATTCACCCTTTAAAAAATCAAAATATGCATCATATTGGGCTGGAGTGATGAGAACCAAGGTTTAATCAATTGGTTTCTTCTGTCTCCTATTTACTTGGTCACCTACCAGGGCAGTTGACATCGTCTGTAGCCATTTTTTTAATGTAAAAACTCATTGAATGAAGGGTTGCTCTTAGAATGGAAAAGACAAGAGAAGCAAATTTATGGAGCTGACTCTTTGATTAAAATTTTTTTTTCTGAAAACTGGGTCAGGAGTAGACAAATAGGAAAATGCAGGAACACTAGAGAAGAAAAAAATAGAGCCACAGCTCTTAGAATCAGAGAAAATTTTCTGCTTAAGTTTGTGGGCCACATAAAAGAAATGTCAGCACTGAATATAGATATTAAGTAGTTCAGTATATTTTGAACATGGCCATAGAAACTTCATCAAATAATAATTAAACTAACATTATTGATCATTTTCTATGTATCACTGATAGATAATTTCATATACTTTATGTAATCAACACTTAAAACACCCTAGTGAGATATTTTTAGCTCTAATTCATTTATATGGATCATTATGTGAAAATGTTACTTCCTTAAGATTATACAGCTACATAGAGCCTTTCCAATCAAGTAATTCTCATTAGTTTTATATCCTATATTAAAGAAAATATGTTCTGGGCCAGGGATTTAGCTCAGTGGTGCCGCCACCTGCCTTGCAAGTGCAAGGTCTTGAATTTGATCCCCGGTACCAAAAAAAAAAGAAAGAAAAAAAAGGAAAATACTTTCTGAAGAGATGTTCAGCATTACTTACCAGTTTGGATTCCTAGAAGTCCCCAAAGGGCTATATGCAACAACAACAATGTCATGTTGTTGGCAAAATTTCAAGAGTTTTGGCTGGGTGAAATATGGATGGCATTCAATCTATTTTGCATTGGAGAGCAGAGCACATAATTAAGACCTTGTAGTTGAATGCAATTTTACATAGATTTTTTTTTCAAAAGTTCATAATCACCTCCATATTGCATTTTTACCAGAATTTCTCATTAATGTCATATTTATTTCTTTTTTCCTCAAAAATGCTGCAAAAACATCTTTTGTTATGATTTCACATGTCTTAATCATGCCTCTAATTTTTTGTATTATGTTTCTATTTTTTTCATTGTAAACAATGCTGTGATAAATACACATATAAGTCTATTCAAGCACCTGATACAGCTTTTATTAGAATAACAGTTCCATTGCTGTGACTGTATCTTATCATATAGTTTAGATACCTTTGGAATTGATTTGCAGTAGGAGTTTGGAAAGTTTTGGAGATGTGGCCTAGAGAATCCTTAGAATGCTATAAGTAGAGATTGCTGGGTGATTCTAGTCAGAGATCAGAAGATCAGAATGCTAACAGGAATGCAAACAGTAAAGGTGAAGCTCAGGAGGCTTCAGTTGAGAATGAGGATTCCATTGGCAGCTGGACTAGAGGCCATGTGTGTTACAACCTGGCAGAAATTTTCCCTGTGTCCTGAGGCTTTGTGAGAGATTAAGATTAAGGGTGGTGAACTAATTGATCTGGCAGAGGAAATTTCAAAGCAGCCCAACATTCAGGCTATTACATGGGTACTGCTCTCTGTCTTTAGCCAGATTTATAGTAAAATTAAGAGGCAAAAGCAAAGAAGTAAAATCAGCAAACTTTAAATTTTTGCCCCAAAGGAATCATATGTAAGGCAAAGGAGACGTGGTTACTGAAGAGATTAGCATCATTGAAAAGAAGCCAAGTGGTTTGTGTAGGGCCAAGAAAAATGCCTTGAGAGCATCACAGAAATCAGTAAGATCTCATCACAGCCTAAAGTGAACAAAAGTGTAAACTTTTCATTTCAGAAAAGAGTTCCTGGAATGCCTCCTTAAGAAAGGCCTGCTAAGGAATTGGTTCCCTTGGATTTATTTCACTATAGCAGTGCTCAGCCAGCTATAGTATAAGGGAGGCCCAGATACTACTCGAGCTGGTGGCAAACCTTGGAATCATCCACATGATGAGGGTTTTACTGGCATGCAAAATCCAAGAGTTATGAGGTCAGAAAGGCTTTCACCAAGAGCTCAAAAGAAAGCCTGGAAGACCACACAAAGAGCCTCTAGAGGGCAGTTTGTGAAGCTGTGGGAATGAAGCCAAAAGTGCAATAGAGAACCCAGAAAATCAGACATGCCAGGAATGTGGAATGTCTGCCAAGGAAAGCTCCAGGCCATGAATGGAGCCAATCTAAAAAGGAGGCTGTATGTGCTGCAACCAGCAATGCCATAAGGGTGAGGCCACCCAAGACTTATAGAACTCACATTTTACCACTAAGTGCCTTGGGTGCCAGATATGGAGCCCCCTGGACCTAATGTTTTCCCTGCTGGATTTCTGTCTTGCTTTGGTCCAATTCTTTTCTATCCTCTTATTCCTTTCTTTTCAAATTGGGATGTTTACCATATGACATTTTGTATCTTGGAATTCTGTAACTTGTTTTTGTTTTTTATAGAGATTTGAGCTAAGAGTTTGCCTTGAGTCTCAAAAGAGACTTTGACTTGGACTAGTGAAAAATTCTGGGGAAAGGATTGTTGCATTTCCAGTTGTACACAGGTTAGTTGCATACATTATGCAAAATTATGAACTTATTGTCTTTATTTGGAGATTAAATACGGGATAAAGAGATGTGTTTGTTGAGAAGGATGGGATGTGGTAGTTAGGGTGGAGTGTCAACTTGATTGTCTTTGTGATCCATCTGTGGGATTGGTAGAGCATGCTTCTGGGTGTGTCTTGGATTATAGAGACATGGCCTTGAGGTTTATGTCTTGTCCCTTGCCCCTTTCTCTCTGGTACTGCTCTCCTGCTCTGTTTCTGGGATACCATGTGCTGTGCAACTCTGCTCTGCCATATTCTTTTACCATGGTATCCTGCTTTGGAGTCTGCCAAACATTGACTGAATCCTCTGAAACTATGAGCCAAATTAAGCCTCTTTTAAATTGTGGGTTTCCAGTATTGTGTCTCAGGGAAGAGAAACTGACTAATAGATTCCCAGGAATAGAATGTGGACTGTTTTTAAAGGTTCTTGATACATGTCAAATTGCTTTCCAGTAAAGCTGACCCAATTTGCCCTCCCCATCATTTCATTAGTTGCTTACCCGGAGCATTATAATAAAATATAAAGCAAATGCATGCAATACAAAATCATCTTCAAATTTATGTTTTTCTAATTAATAGTGAGTTAAACATTTTTCATGTTTACCAGTTAGTCTTTTGCAAATTTCTATCAATTTCTTTTGGTCATTTTACTGTTGAGATTTGATGATTTTTTTCTCAATTTTTCCCATTGATTTTAATTAGGCCTTTTCTGTTATTATTATTATTTTTTGTACCGGGGATTGAACCTGTTTGCTTCTGATAATTTTAGAGTTAAAAAGTTTTATACTATTAAATTTATCAAATTTTCTTTATGATTTTTCCATGGCTTTTCTTTCTACCTACAGCTCCAAAAAATTAAAATTCTTTCATTGTGTTTACACATGATTTCTGCTTTTTCCTTTAACTTCTGATCAAAGGCAAATACCTGGAGTAAAATGAGGCAAAGGCCTATGTTTCTCCGTAACCATTTTATCACACTATTGCATAAAAAATACATTCCTTTGCCATTAGTTTGTGTTACTTTATGTTAAGTATTTATTATACTTTGGCCTATTTCTAAACACTTGTCATTTTCAATTTATTTGTATGTTGGTTCTTGTGCTTCCCTTATTTAATTTAGTTTAACTTTATTTTATTGATTGATTGTAGTACTGGGGATTGAACCCAGAGAGCATTGAGCTACAACCCAGGCCTTTTAATTTTAATTAATTAATTTTTTTTGACAAGAACTTGTTAAATTACTCAGGCTGGCCTTGAATTTGCCATATTTTTGCCTCAGCCCATGCCTGGCTTATTATTTTTTTAATTACTTAAGATGGTCTTGCTATTTTGCTCAGACTGGTCATGAACTCCTTCACTTAAGGGAGTCTTCTGCCTTAGCCTCTCAGGTCTTACATTATTTTAATATTCTATCTGTATCAATATCTGCCATGTCTTATTCCCCCCTCATTGCTTTTCTTCTTCAAAAAAACTCTTACCTGGGTTCAAAGTTTCAAATATTATTCTTAAGGATGTAAATTGAGAGAAGTTAAAAGATTGGCCCAGGGTCTTATTATGAGATTTATGCCGAGCAATCAGAAGACTTCCTGATGCATAGTCCAGGCTTCTTTTTGTTATTTAAAAATTATATTGGGTCCTGCTCCCCACCTGGAGGAGCTGTATAGCTGTACCTGGTTGCAGACCGGCTTGTGCTTGAGTCCTGGTTTGTTCAGGATGAGTTCCAGCTGCCTGCGGTTAAAATTAGAGACTCCCAGGGATTTCACCAAGCCAGCATCTTTGCATGCTTCCAAGGCCTTGGAATAAAGGTCAACAGGTCAAGAAAAAAATCTCACAAGGAGTAAAAATGAATGTTTATAAAGCTGACTGTAAATTATTTAAAAAGAAGAGTCTGGCATTCTGTGACAGAAAGAAGAGCCTGGCATTCTGTTACAAAACAAAAGGGGATGGGAAAAGGCATGACTTTATGATTGAATGAGTTTTTAAAATATTGTAACCATATTCCCCCATGTATTTTTATTTTTATCATTATTATTATTAATTATTAATTACTATTATTATTATTATTTGAGACAGGGTCCCTTATGTAGTTTGGGGTAGTCTTGAACTCACTGTGTAGCCCAGGCTGACTTCAAACTTGTGGTGATTCTCCTGCCTCAGCTTCTTGGGTGCTGAATTACAGGTGCACCACTGCTTGTATTTTTAAAATGTATACTAGTATGTTACTAATGATATATTTCTTGAAATTTGTTGAGAGTTTCATTATGGCATAATACTTGATCAATTTTTTAAAATGTTCTGGGGTGTTGGATAGATGTATATTTTTCTATTTTTAGATTCAAAATTCACATTATATGTAAAATTAGCACTAGCTTGTCTCCTCAGTAGTTTTTTTTGGTACTGGGGATTGAACTCAGGTCCTTGCTCTTGTGCAGCAGGCAGTGAAACCACTGAGCTAAATCCTCAGCCCAGTAATTTTTTTTTTTTTTTTGGTACCAGAGATTGAATTTGGGTCCTTGCATTTGTGGGGATTTCTCAGTAATTTAAAGGACTATGTTAGACACCTCTTGCTATGCTAGTAGATTTTTTTTTTTGGTATCAGGGATCAAACTTGGGTCCTTGCACTTGCAAGGCAGGTGGCAGAACCACTGAGCTAAATGCCCAGCCCATATGATAGTAAATTTGTTAATGTCTCCCTGTATTCTTCCTCTATTTGTTACTATCTTCCTATGTTCTACGATATACAATATATTGTACAATATGATATTGCTTTATATATTTTGATTTTACTTTATATATTTTGATTTTTTGCTATATATACTTTGAAGATTTTTATTTGGGATCTATATATTTAAAATTGGTAGATCTTCTTTGTAAATATCTTTAATTCAACTTTTTATACCTAAAAGTGCTTTTGATATTTAAATGTTATCTGATATTAATATAATTACACCAACTTTCTCTGATAAATATTTGACTATGTTCTCCTCATTCAAGTTTTAATTTTTGCGTGTCTATATATTTCAATGACTCATGTTAATTTTGTCAATATTTGTCTTTTAGCTGGTGAATTTATATTTATTGCAACTACAAATATATTTGAGCTGTTCCTGTCATTTTCAGTTCTTATTTCAGTTTATCTCAAATTTTGTTTCTTTTAAACTCTTTATTACTTTAAAAAAGTTTAAAATACACAGACACACATACACATGCTTTCCTCTTAACAAAGACAAAAATAACATGTTCGCACATTCCTTGTTCTACCTCTGACATCTGTGATATCAATAGTATACATAGACTTTAATTATAGCTTATTATAAGTACATTTTCCTTAAATTTTTTGTAGATATTAAATAATGTATAAAGTTTAATTTGGTCACTTTATACATTTCTC